AAAATGGCCTGCTAATTCACCCGCATGGGCTTCATGAAAAACCTCGTATCTTGCGCTTTTCGGGACCACACATACTAAGGCGCCTTCTTCAGTATACATTTCAAGACTTCCGTTTTCCATAAGAAATTCTACGACTCGTATTCAGTTGTTTGTGCAATGCATTCTCACTGTCCTATTCAAGTCATCTTTCCTTAACGCATCCAGTACTAGCGGAAAATCTTCATCTTCTTCCAATTCTTCCAACCATTTTGTCTTTTTGTCTACCACTAATACATTTACGACTGCCTCATTCGAACTTTGCAAAGAGTTGAACTCCCCTTCCACTCGTACGCCTCTGCTCAGCGCCTCAGCTACCACATTTGCCCGTCCTTTCACGTATTTGATCTCCAGTTCATATCGTTGCACTTCGAGCGACCATCTGAGTGCTCGTGCGGAGACGTTACTCCGCTTAAACGAAGCAGTCAGTGCTTGATGGTCCATCATGACAGTCGCGGGCACGCCATAAATAAACATATGAAATCGTTTTACTGCAAACATGACGGCTAAGGCCTCCGTTTTTCAGCTTTACTTGAAGCCTTCGATGCAAAGTATATAGGGTGCAGGTTTTTTTTCTCGTCCTCTTGCGCTAGGACTGCGTCCAGCCCTCTTGTTGATGCATCCGTGTAAATAACGAAAGGACTTTCACCAGTCCTTGCTTTTTCCATATCGGGCTGCTTTAGTACCGGTGCCGCACAAATGAACTGTTTCACCTTTTCAAATGCCTCATCGCACTCTGACGTCCAATTCCATGCTCGCTTTGATGAGGTCAATTCGAACAGTGGACTGGCTGTTTTGCGAAGTTCAAGCAGAATTTCCGATATAAAGCTGCCATTCCTAGGAAAGTTCTCAACTCTCTCACGTCTTTGGGGACGAGTGTAATTCTTTACCGCTTCAGCTTTGCGTGGATCTGTGTGGATACCAGCTCCGTCGATTACATGCCCAAGGAAAGACACTTTCGTTTCCATCGACACGCAGTTTTCTGCCTTGAGTCGAAGTCCTGCTTCTATCAGTCTTGTAAACACTGCTCTCAAAAGTTCCAGGTTCTCTCGTTCTAGTACAAACCATTATATCATCGATATAACAGAATACTTCATTACCCAACATATCCTTTAGGACTGTGCCCATCATTCTTTGGAATACCGCAGGCGAAGTACTATGGCCAAATGGTGTAACCCTGAATTTAAACAGGCCTTCTGTAGTTGCGAAGACCGTCTTTTCCCGTGCCTCTCGTGTAAGCGGAATCTGCCAATATCCGCTATAAAGGCCCAGGGTCGAAAAACACCTTGTACCGGCCACGCTCTGTAACATCGCGTCTATCGTCGGCATCGGGTACGCGTCTTGACGGATGCACTTGTTTAGCTCGCCGTAATCAACATAGAGTCTTAGGCTGCCTTCCTTCTTCTCCACCGAAACTATGGGGAAAGCCCATGCCGACGCACTTTTCTCGATAATTTTTCCAGATACGAGATCATTCAGCATCTCCTTCAACTTAGCTCGCATTGCTAGAGGGACAGGTCTAGGTTTCAACTTAATGGGTAGGAGATCCCCTGTGTCTACATCCATTTCGACTTCGCTTGTGGCCGAAAGTTCCTGGTCACACACCGCAAATGCTTCCCGTTTGTCTTCCAGCAGTATCCGGATATCTTCGGGTTTTGGGCAATTTGTTCTAACAGTTTCTGTTTTCCGGCCATTGGTTCTTATATGGGACCTCTTTCTTCCAACAGCGCTGGCTTCAGCTCATCCCATCCTTCTCTCCACTTCTCAGTCTCCAGTGCCCGATCTCATCACCTTCTCTCCACATCATTGGTTCGCTTTTTTCGTTTATTACCGGAATCGCACATTCACAATTTTCTATTTTGAACACCCCTGCCGCCATTCCATTTGAAATTGGCCATATAATGCGTTCAACAGAACCTTCATTAATTTCACAACATGCTTGCACCACGGCCGAGCTGTATGGCAGTATGTAGGTCCTTCTTGCAACGGTGACTTTCCCTCTATGGCTTGACCTTTGTATGGGGACTAATGGTGCCCTAGGCAGGTGGATCTGAACCCCTAAGCTTCCCAGTGCGTTTGTTCCGAATAGCACCTCATGGCCTTTCTCCTTCGATATGTAGAAGGCAACTTCATACTCAGATCCGCCTTCAATTTTCACCGCTATTGAAACTCCACCGAGGAATTGCATCTCGTTGTTGGAGGCATCATACACCTTATCAAGTGTTTCCCGATCGATTACGGTGAGGGAGTCAACGTCAAAGCCATTATTTTGAGCCCAGGCCATCCTATTGGAACAATGCTTATCATTGATCCTGTGTCGATCAGCGCCCTAACTCTTTCATTCGACATACTCACCCATGCTGTCGACTTCTTTCCGACTAAGTTGGTGGTAGCAGAGCCTTTTTCTACTACCATTCCCATCGCCCTTGTCTGATGCACTGGATCCAAAATCTGTGCCCCTTTCCTGTTGTCCGTCGTTTTTGCTCTCTTCTCAACTATGTTATACACCACGGGTCTTCCTAGCGGGCAGTTCCGCGCAATATGCCCGAATTTCGAGCAGTTGAAACACTTGCGAGTCTCGACATCTTCCTTGTTTTTATCGGCGTACCCTATGTGGTGTTCTACAGTGTTGGGCGGTCGGAACCGATCACTTTCCCGACGGCTATTGTATGCCTGCGCCCTCTTTTCCACTCATTACCTGTCACCACGCTCTTTCGGCCCGTCCCGTACACTGTCCTTGCTTGCTCTATCGTTACAGCTAGTTGCTTGATCTCGTTATATGCGCTACTCGGGTCTGACCTATGTAGCAAACTCAACAATTGCACATGTTCCGGCCATTCTCTCAGGTTATCCAACAGTACTGCGCGTACTCCAACGACCTTTCTGGTATAGCACAGTTAGGATTAGCTTTGCGAGCCAATTTCTCCAGCATTACACAGAATTCCGAAATTGACTGATTTGACCTCAATTTCAAGCTCCGTAACTCATTTAACGCTCTCATTCTAGCGGCTGTTGATTCGTTTGAAAGCAACCTATCCAGTTCTCTCACTACCGCTTCGAATCCTTTTTCTACCTGCTCTTGGGGTATTACCAAGAACACTTTTTAGCCTTTTCATCCAGTTGGTCATCTGCCAATATTTCCAATAAGGTCTCATCACTGTATCCCAGCGGCCCATATTTCCTTCGGGATCTTCGTAAAAATTCTTTGAAATTTTCCCCTGATATTCCTCGATACACACCGGGGTCGACACAACTAATCATTTGTGAAAATTTAAGAAAGCTATCCATGTAATTCGCACCTGTTGCGGTTTGCTCCGCCACTGTTTCCCATTGCTCCAAATGCGGTTTCGAGTGCGGCGCGTAATCTGCTCCGGTCACCACTGGCTCGTGGTTCCGCTCTGACATTTGAGTCGTCATCTGTAATCTTCCATTTTCAGCACTAGCCGATTCGTACTCCTTAAGTGTTTTTCGGTTCAACTCCGTACCTTCCATGTCTTCGTCGGACATTTCTTCATCGTTTCTCCTCATTTCCTTCGCTTGCTTCTCTTGTAGCTTTGGGATCTCTCCAACAACTTCTCGCACCTGTAGCACATCTGTATCTAGCATACTGCAAATTTCTGCT